GATGGGAGAAGGCTGGAAGTGAGCTGAGCAGCCTCCATCACTGGAGGCTTTTAAAGAGCAGGTTGGACAAACTTCTGTTAGGAAGGGATTGATGCTGCCCCGGGGAATGAGCCAGTGTCTTCCCAAAGTCCCTTTCAGCCTCATTTTCCAACGCCATGCGTATCCGGAGCTGCAGCGTGCCCGTCTCCTCCCGCAGCTGCCGTGTCCTGCTTCCGAAGTGGCCCCGTTTCAGGCGAGCGAAGGGTTTGTACGTACGCACAGACTCGTTGCTAATCATGTCCTGTAAATCTGCTAAAAGAGTCACCCTGTAAACGTGAAGGCATTACCTGTCTGGCCCTGGAAAAAGGAATTATCTCTCACTTTTCCGTAAGAACTCGGAAAAGCCTCGAGTCTTGAGCTCTGGAAATGTCATCCGTTTTCACGCATAAGAAAAGCCGAACGTTTTCACAGATTAATACAAGTTAGCCAAGTTTGCAAAATGAGTGAGCAGAGCTGATTTAACATGTTTCAGAAGCTTTAAGCTAAACGACACTTACCTTCCGAGCGATTTCTAATCCTGTTTTGCAAACTTTTACTTGTGTTGTATCATAATCTCCACCCTCTTACAGAGGGGGGCAGGAGACACGGTCGAATGCAAAATGCTCCTGCTCTGATTTATGGGATCTCTTCTCCGCTGCCAAGTAAAGTCAGATTTCCTCCCCCGAGTAGACCTGCGGATTGCAGACCCCCATCCCGCATCAGGTCTGAAGAATTGCGGCCTTCCGTACAAACAGCGGCACGGAAACGTCTTCCAACGGAGGGGAACACCAGGGAGAGAACTTCAGGCCAAAATCGAGCTCTGTAAAATCTTAGGCAACCGAAAGGTCCACAAAAACATGTCCGCGGGAGGATGCTTGACAGAAAATATTTTTAAACGATAACGCTGCCTGCTGCGTTTGCATTCCTGACGTTTCCCCGGGCCGCTGAAGGGGGAGGGCCAGGGAGCGAAACACTGCAGACCCGGCAGGAGCAACGAGCTCAGGGAGCTGCAAGGAGCCGGGACGGACGCGAGCCAAAAGTCCCTTTTCGCATTTAGCTTCGCGCTCTGACGGCACAGGGGTAGGACAAGCTGGGGGAGGAAATCTGCGCTGGAGCTGTTTTTAATCTCGCCCAGCGTCTCTGTAAAGCAGAGCGCATCCGGTACGGTATGGACTGAAGAGGAAGCCGGAGGGAAGCCGGAGGGATCAGAGCTTGCCCCCGTCGAGTAGGTACCCACCTCCTTTGGGGCTGGCTCTGGGTGGGGATTCGTGTCCTACTTTTAAGCAGCTGGGGGTGTTCAACGGAGGGGTTTGTGCGCTGGAGAAGATACGTCGGCTGCATGGACCTGCCTGGCAGGGCTGTCGCTGACTGCAAGCGTCACGTACTTGGTCACGCAAGGGACTGGCCCGGGGAGCAGGGAGGAGCTGGGGCGTTACAGGCCGTCCGCTCCACGGCACGCGTTGGGGAGAAACAACGCGGACAACCCGCCCCTCACCACCCTGCCTCCAGCCCAGGCCACCACACGCGTTTGCAGCCCTCGGGTGCCCGGGCCATTGCCCTCCTCGGGCTCCCCGGGGACGTCAGCACCCTGCCCACATCCAACCCAACTCACCGCACGCACGCGGAGGCAGCCAGCGGGCTCTGGCAGGATCCGGTCCTCCCCAGACGGATGGGAAACCCTGCCTGCTATCCACAAGAGCTGACTAAGAGGGGCCAAAAATGGGGCAATGCTCGAGAAAGAGTCATCCTCAAACACGCCAGCATGGATGTCCTTCTAGCACCTTTTCCGGCTTTTGTACAGGCTCCCGCCGTGTTCAGTGCAGCTATGACTCCGGATGCGTGAACACACGCGCAGACACCTTGGCTTGCTCAAAAAACACTAGTTAGAGCAAATGGTTTCTCAGAGGCACCGTCAAACTTCTCACCACCAACCCATCAAAATATTTTGGTGTGACGTTTAGGTTACGTACAGAATTACTAAGCATTAGGACGCGCTGACGTTCAAGTAACAAAAATGAAAGCTGAAGCGAAGCACTTCAGTGGGAGCTGGGATGGGACGTTGCATGGAAGCGCAATATTTGGAGATTGCCTCTTCTCTTAGAAATGAGCCATAACGTTTCTGACTCCACCTGCTTCTTGTGGGAAGGAAATTCTTATTTTCGAGTCTCCTTTTCAACCACCTCGGGACAGGCTCGCCTCTCTCCGCAGGCTAGAACAGAGCTCTGTAAAACCACGGCGGCGCGAGGTGTCTTCATTACATCTCTTAACACCAGAGAAATCCGGGGGAAAATCCGACAAGACGCTCAAGCACCACGTTTTAACACACGCAGGGGAAAACGCATTTGCGGACCGTGCTTAATTAAATTGCGGACCTCGTTGCTGTCGGAGAGCGCAGAACCGCCGGCAGGCTCCAAAGGCGACCGCTCACGTTCGCGGAGACTTGCTTCAGCGGCAGCTAACGAACACGATAAGTCAGATGAAGCCTACAGCTAGCGAAGCA